TGGGGCTCGGCCCGCCCTTCTCCCCTCCCTCTCTTCCAATTTCTCTCTCCTCCCGTGCCCCAGCCCCTCGGCCGGGCCAGGCGAGGCAGGAGCGGCCGCTCCCGGCGCCCAGCCCGTTCCCTCTGGGGATGCGGGAGCCCCGGAGCGCTGCCCCTGGGAACGCTGCCCGGCTGAGGGGCACCGGAGGGCACCATGAGCGGCGGCAGGTTTGATTTCGATGATGGAGGCGCCTACTGCGGGGGCTGGGAGGGGGGCAAAGCCCACGGGCACGGCATCTGCACCGGCCCCAAGGGCCAGGGCGAGTACTCGGGCTCCTGGAACTACGGCTTCGAAGTGGTGGGCATATACACGTGGCCCAGTGGCAACACCTACGAAGGCTACTGGTCCCAAGGCAAGAGGCACGGCCTGGGAATCGAGACCAAAGGACGGTGGGTTTACAGAGGCGAGTGGACCCATGGCTTTAAGGGACGCTACGGGGYGAGGCAGAGCATGAGCAGCGGAGCCAAGTACGAGGGTACATGGAACAATGGCCTGCAGGATGGCTACGGCACCGAGACCTACGCTGATGGAGGTAAGGGTGGCTCCGGAGGGAACGGGAGGGGAATGAACAACTTCATACCAGCCTGTGACAACAGAGCTTGCACGTTGTCCCTGCTGAAAGGGTGACCCAGTCCTGTTCCTACCACTGAGATCCAGACAGGCACAGTGTTCTACAGTGAGCCATTGGGGTGCTTCAGTCAAGGAGGAGCGCTTGGGGTGCAGCCCTCTCATCAGTGTGTGAGTGCCCTGATTGTCCCAGTTGGGTGCCCATCTGCAGTCCCAAGGGAGGAGCAGCAGGAGCATTGCCCCAAGCTGCTCTTGAGTGTCTGTGTGGGTAGTTAACACCAACCAAGTGGATTCTGTGTGGTCTTTGACTGCTGTGTCCACAGGGATCGGTTATTGCAGTTTATGGCTGAACCAACCCAGAAACTCGCAGCTGGTGCACCACCAGTGTGCTTAGATGTTCTCTGAGCCACCCACAGCATCTCACCACACTTTCCCTATGCACTGAACACTGCCTGCATGCCTCTGATGGGCTGCCTGCACATCTGCTTTGCCCAAGAGTTTTGATTGAGTCCATCTAAGCTGTTTAAGTTATGTAGTCACACGCCTTTCCCCAAAATAAACCCCTTTGGTTACTTGGAAGCTTTCAACYGCTGCTACTACACAACTGTACCACACAGATATTTGTTGTGCTCTGTAAATGTTTGGTCTATTTGTGTTCTTGTATTAGTGGCAATTCTGGGGTTAGAAACATTGCAAGAATTCCTGTGCAAGTAATTTTGTAGCTCTTCAGCACAGTAATGTTCCGGGCTGCCACATTTAGGAGAGCTAAATAGAGAGGGTGATTTGAAAGAAATATCCCTCAAAATATGGATCAAAATTGCATCTATATTTATCTAAGAGAGGCATTGGAGTTATTTTATAAAGCAAAATAACTGTCATAATATAAATCTTYCAAATGAAAAGCATT